CCCAGCCGCCACCAGCGCCAGCGGCGGCGGCGGCGACAGCAGCAACATCGCTAACCACTGGGCCGCCGGGCGCCCCTTGTCGCGCCGGTGAGGACCAGCTACGCACCCAGCACCCGGCCGGCGCGGGAGCACCTCGGCTCCTCCGCTCGCGACGCCTTCCGGGGCCTTGTCACCCCTGCACCCTTGGACAGGAACTTCGCCACCCCTGTCACCCCAGTGTGAGGAGCACTTGGGACCCAGGGCTGGAAGACAGGAAAGTCGCGGAGGTTTTCCCCGCCCTACCCACTCCGGCCTACCCACTAGGGGAGGGAGGAGGAAGAGAGGGGTGGACCATCTGCCCATCCCAGAAATTCCTGCCTTCGGGGTGGGGAGAGAGGAGGGGTGAGGCTGCGGGTGCCTGCTTTCGCCCCTCCCGCTTCCAGCCCGGCTCGCTCCTTTGTAGGAGAGGCCGAGGAGTCCCGGGTGAGCTAGTTGAGGATCTGCGGGACAGGAAGCCTGGCATCTGGGGTTGCGACCACTTGGCTCTGGCAAACGCCGCGGGCTTGGCAGGAGCCAGCTTCGAGTGAACCGAGCTCCGGTGAACCCCGCTGCTCTGGGAGAGCTCGGGACTGCTCTGGAATGTGGAGCACTGGAGACCCCTGGGGGCCGCGTCTTGGTCTCTACAAGAGTGGTCCAGAGTAACCCTAAGATTTTTCTGCTGTTGAGTTCTTTGCGTATTAAAATAATATTCCTCTTCCATCTTTTTTTATTTCCACTCTCCACACCACCACCAACGTCCCCAGCGAAACAGCCAGAGCACTGACACCCCCCACACCAGCTAAGAATCCCCACCCGGAAAGGCAGGGTGAGTCCCGCAAAAGTTACTTCCTAAACTAGTAAATGGAAAACCCTGACTAGAATATAGTCCTTCTAACGGCAGTCCTATAAAAACTAGCAGAACAATGGAGCATTTAACTTTCATAAGAATAGGCTAATTTAAGACTTTTCTTAAGTAGGACCTTGACATTTGTCATTAAGACAAGAGGAGGGGAGAAAGCAAAAGAGAACTTAAAAAAACAAAAGAAGAAAAAAGAAGAGAAAAGAGGAGAGAAGAGAAGAGAAAAAAAAAAAAGAAAAGAAAGAAAAAGAGGTGGGAAAGAAGAGGGTGGTCCATCAGGGAGGGCCATGCTCAGCAGGCAGTCCCACAGAGAAAGTTCCCATCAAGGTTCAGGTCTGGGGACCAACAGGTGGTGTAGTGTTTAAGGTACTGGACTCCCACATGGCGAACCATGGTTCGAGTCCCCAACAAAGAGGCTTGAAACTCACACTGGGCACATGTGCGTGTGTGCCCAAAATCCTGAGAGTAGAATGGAAGAGAAAGGATGGGGGCATTTCTTATTGTCTGTCTCTTTCTGTGTCTCCACTGAGCACCTGTGCCTATAGCCGAAACAAAACAAAACAAAACAAAAACAACAAAAAAACCTCTCTTTAAAAAAAAAAAAAGAGAGAGAGAGAGAGAGATTCAGGTCTGGTTCAAGTGCGCAAAACCTCCCCGATTATGTCCAGCCTGTCGTTCCCTATGGTCACAGGCTGGCTGGCTGAAAGCTGGGAGTAGGTCACAGCTCTGAGATCCTGTTGAGGGTGCCACCCCATCCTGCCCCCCACCCTCTGCCCTGCACATGGAAGAAATGAATTAATAAACTTAGAAAAAGAAAAAAAAAAACTGGGGCGAGATCTTCTGACCTTATCTTTCTCAGCTATTTAGCCAGTAATAAACCACTATTTCCAGGTAGCACTGTCTTAGCCTGGTACCCAGAAAGTAGATCCTGGGAGGAAGTCCTCAGCAGAGAGCAGGATTAAGCAGAGAGCAGTGTGAACTAGGGCAGATGGTAAGTGATGGCTTGTTCACTGCCCTAGAAAAGGTGCTCAGTCTTCCAGGAGTCTAGAGGACCTCAGGACTGTCTGTCCAAGGACAAAAGAGGAAGGCATTTATCCAGAGACTCATGATCCCTACCTATTGAGAGCTCTTAGGGCTATTAACTCCCCTGCACACTTCTGCTGTGGTGATGAGCTTGGTATCTGAAAAGCCTTGTGCATGGCCTGGCATGCCAGGTTGCTTCCTAGGAAGGGACAGGGCTCATATGTGGGCAGGGTGGGGGAGCTGGGGGAAGTCTGTTAAAGAGGTAACTGGCGAAAGAGGTTGGTTGAGAGGCTGCGTATGCCAAGCATATGGCATCTCATTACATGTAGGATCGGTATTCCTGCCTGAACACACGCAGCAAAGGGATGCTTTCAGCATGCCAGGCTATTCGGATTTCAAACACAAACTGGCTATCCTTGTCTGCGACGACCTCAGAACTGCTTTGCTAGGGCAAGTGGGCTGACATCTATTGCAGCAGGTAAGTGCAATCCACATGACCTCGTTGGGTAATTGAGTGTCTCACTGAAGTTCATTTCTGGTGAGGCACAGGGCAGTGAGGGTAAAGGGGAGAGAGACCAGGAGAAGCTGGACGGGGCCCTTGGGAGGAGAAATGTGTTCAGATACGGCGGTGGGTACTGGGACAAAGGCTGTTCTGGGATCCAGAGGCGTGAGAAAAAAGATATATACATTAGAGTGAGGAATATTTGTATGGGGGGCAGTGGGAGGTGCACCTGACCCCTGGGCGTCCTGGCAGATGAACTAGTCTCTGGGATATTGGGCTACCTCCCACTGGCTCTGAGACCCAGATGAGTCATTCACTTGTTGTGGGCTTCAGCTTTGTCCTCTGTATAATGAGGGGGAAATGAGAGAAAAAGGAAGAAAGAAAAAGAGAAAAAGAAAGAAGTCTCTTCTTTCTGTCCCATAGCCATAATACTGTGAAGTAGCAGAACTATGCATAGGATGAGATGAGGGGACTCAGTCGTATTTCATCTTCAGAGCAATTAGCATAATGAAGAGAGGTGATGACAGCTTCCTGGCCTACTGACACCCCATTTCCTATTCAACCATTAGGAGATTCAGGAAGGAGCGACTGTTTTTCATCTCTTCCTGAAGCCCTGCAGCTTTGAGGTGGAAATCTGTGGTAAAGAGGTTTTTAGCATTTGAGAATATGATCATTACCCATATCCCGGCCTCGCTTTCAGCTTTATGAGGCGATGTGAAAAGAGGTGGCTCTGTCACATGCCAGCACATCCCTCAGCCTCCCTTAGTGTTTCCTCCTGTGTAAAATGGAGATGATAATTTCTGCGTCATTGCATTGTTGTATTAAATGCGATAATGCAGGCCAAGTGCTTCGTGCAGTCTGCTGCACTGGGAACCGTGGGCGTGTGGGGAGGAGCGGGCAGCAGGCAGCAGGCCAGCAGAGCACTGTGCTGTTGGTGGTTCTGTCCCCTGACTCCGATCAGGAGCAGGGCAGGTAGGACTCTGCACATCTTCCCATTGCTCTAGTTATCTTTTTTTTTTTTTTAAGTTTGTTTATTTTTATCGAGAAAGAAAGAGAGAGAGGGGGAGATGAGGTCTCCAACAGGGTCTCACCATGCTGCCACCACTCCTTCCCCCCAAGCCTTCCAGCAGCCAGGATCCTGCCAGGAGAGTGTTTCAGGCTGACCCAGGATCCAAACTCTGTCTTCCAGGTGGCTTCAGCACTGCAGAGCTGTGTGCTACTGCCCGTGTCACCTTAGCTGTGCCTCCACATTTCTCTTTTTTTCTTTCTTTTTGAGGGATTTTTTTAATACAGAGCACATGCGCTCACTGGAGAGACAGAGAGAGAAAATGTGAGAAATTACCCCCTAGGGGGGATGGCCATGCCACAATCCCTTCTCTTCCATTCTACTCTCAGGGTTTGGGGCATGCATGCACACCTGCCTGGAGTGAATTTCAAGCTGCCAGGTCTGGACTCGAACTGTGGTCGACACTGTGGGAGTCCAGCAACATAGCCACTAAGCCATCTACTGGTTCCTTCATGTTTCCTTTTAAGTTAGAATTATTTATTTATTTACGAATGTGAGTTTCTTGCAGAACTGATTGCATTTTGCGTCTCTTTGAATCTCCAGGGCAGCATCCTGCTTGGCACTTTAATGAACTCTTAGAGTCTCTGCCAAGAAAACAAAGGACTGAAGAAAGGGAGAAGTGAAGTTGGAAGGAAAATAGTGTTTGGAGTCATTTGAAACTTGAGAGAAATAGAAATCTGAATTATACTGAATGAAAACAGTAAATAAAACGCAAATATTTAAAATAGGTTGTAGTTAGGGTCAAGATGGCTGTCAATGGAGCCATGTGTATGTGGCATCCAAGTCTGGGAGCATGGGCGGTTGTGACTGGCACCATTATGAAGCTGCTTTTAGATGAGTGACTTGAACATGTCTGAATGCTGAGTGGAAGGAAGAAGCAAGAGAGAGCTTAAAGATACTCACCCTTGGAAAATTCATAAAGTGCAGTCCTTAAGAAGGCAGACGTTTCCAGAAAAAAAGGTAAAAGTGTTCCTTATGGAAAAGAAGGTGATGCCTCCAATGCAGCTAGAATGAAGGCAGTAATAGCTGTAGGGAGAGGTAAGTCTATCAAGTGCAGGCAGAGCTGAGAGTTCTCTCATCCGCTAGCTTCTCACTCTTCTGTGAGGGAGCAGGGGACTCTGTCTGCTGAGGAGGAGAGGAGAGCTGGAGTTGGGAGGAGTGGGTGAGGCTGGCTCTAATACAGAGCCGTAGAGGGAGCTGCTGGGGAAGGGCATCTGGAAGTCGGAATCACCAGGGGCCCCTTGTCATCCAGGACCAATGCATTTATCATGGCTCATGTTTCCTGAGCAGTGTTCAGAAGTGCAGAGTGCAGGTATAGGCAGGGAGAACGTGACACTGGGCTTCGTCCAAACTGATGTGACCCAGCCAGGATGGTACAGACAAGGAGTTGCATGCAGAGGCAGGGAAAGGCTGTTCCTGGTGGATCTCACAGAACTGGGCTCCATCATCACAGATGAACCTGTGGTAGTAGCAGAGAGGGCTCTGGGTCCAGACTGCCAGTTTCAGATCCTGTCTTTTTCATGCACTAGTTGTGTGAATTGGGCCAGTTACTCAACCTCCATATGCCTTAGTTGCCACCTTTATAAAATTGTAATAGTAGTAATAATAATAAGAAGAATGCCTACCTTATTGGCTTGCTGTGAAGGTAAAATGAATTAATACCTAAAAGTGCTTAGACCAGTGACTGACGTATGCATACTCACCAAAGGAAGTGTTTATGATTAGTTATTATTATTATTTGCATGGAGGTATACAAGATATATAAAACTACTTTGTGGGCAAATAAAGAATGAGTGTTGTTTTGTTGTTTTCTATTTTGTTTTGTTTTGAGAGGTTTTTGCTATAGGGAGTGTGTGCTCGCCAGAATGACAGAGAGAGACAGAGAGACAGAAAGAGAGAAATCACCCCCACAGGGGATGGTCACACCGCAATCCCTTCTCCTCCATTCTCCTCTCATGATCTTGGGCACACACACACACGCACCCCACTGGGTCCGGGACTCAAACCATGGTTGACTACATGGGAGTTCAGTGACATAGGCATTACACTAACTGCTGGTCCCTGATTTTATTTTTTTCTGGGGGAGAGGAAAGCTATAAGACCATATTCTTGTCTTCTTAATAGTCACCATTATAGAGTGCTTGATATGTGCCAGGCTTTTTGACTATTATGCTCACGGTGTAGTGTTTAAGAGGTCAGATTGCATGGGTCAGGATCTGTACTGTGACCTATGCCAAGTTATTGTGCTTTGCCCTGCCTCAGTTTCTTTTC